TGGAGCGGCTGAAGGCGTGGAGCAGGGACAGCAACCTGCTCCAACACAACCACGACCATGGAGACGGTCGTGGATTTCAGGAAAAGAAAAGTAACATTAAACCACTTTACATCAGTGACGATGGTGACGGACACGCCACAGAGGACACGTCGTGGGGGTGAACACAGCAGAGACTTTATTTCCTGATGTACTTTCTTTTTTTCTCAAACCTTTATTTAAACATCAGTACAATACAAAATGGAATCAAACAGTACCACAATAATGGTGTTGTACTTACAAAAGAATTGACCCTGTGCACGAGAAAATGCTAACTTCCTGGTTTGAGACCGGATGTGGGGTTGTACATTTCCGGTAGCTTTACTTTGCGGTCAATCGCTACTGCGAAGATATCCTCCACAATCATGTCCAAAACTCGAAAACGGAAAGATGGCGTTAAGTTACAAAGAGAAGGTGGGAACACTCACCACTGCTGTGTCATAAAAATCTAATGATCAATTTTGACGTTTAAAGAGTTTAGATCGATCAGTTGTTTCCATCACTCAACACAAGCAGAACTGCAGCAGCATCGTCCACATTCAGAAGCTCATCTCTGTACAGTGACTGGTCTCATGATTCAAACAGGCAAATGTTCAGCATTCAAACTACAGGTGAACAATAGTCAAACCAGATGTTTCTGTTATGTCGAGATCAGCTCGTCAAGTACACACCTACACAGCATGTTAACAAACCGTGAAAAAAGACACACAAAAAATGAATGATTGCTGGTAAGGGTTTCTATACATTAGTATTTACGAATGTTGTGACTTACCTTCAAACTTACAGCGGTCCCTCGCTATAACGCGGTTCACCTTTCACCTCGCTGTTTCGCAGATTTTTTAGTGCAAGTTTGCAGACGATCTCCTCCGTGACGTCTCTCCTGTACAGAATCGCTGCATCGATGCAGCAGTGTGACTCTGAAGTGCAGTGCTGTGTGTCCACGATGTCCACGAAACATTTTGCACCGTCAAAAAATAAAATTGGCTACTTGATTTCACCTATCGCTGGTTATTTTTAGAACATAACACCCGCGATAAACGAGGGACAGCTGAGAAATATAACATTTGAATTCTTTTCTCTTTTGCTCTGAGGCGCGGGGAAAAATATCGACAAGTCGATGAACATCGTTTACAGATATATTGGGTAAATGCCCGAGACATCTATAGAAATGTAAATCGCTGCTTTATTTATTTATTTGTTTAACTTGTTTTGGACCGTAAACCAGGCGCGAATAGGACACCGGAAACAAAGCTACTTAGCATATGCTACTTCCACACCGGAAGTAGCATATGCTAACGTGCACTTAGTCTATTGTATGCATAGATAAACAAATACAAGAACAGTATTCAGAAACAACAATATAAATATGCGAGGGGGAAAGTAACTGATCAAGCCAAAGAATAAAGTGATTGAAAGATCTTGATTTTTTCACAAACACCAATAGTTTTTATAGCTTTTGGGTTAGTGGAGTTCTTAAT